CCCAGTCCCAAGAGGGGCAAGTAGCACAATGTCCACAGCAGACCAAAAAACCCAGTCCTATGTTAATCCCTGTGGTGGGATGATGGGAGCAGTTAATACGAGAATGAGAAAAGATGCTGGCCAGAGCAGCAGGATTTATATACCTTCCCCAGGTTCCTGGGGCCCAATAACTTACCTGAATTCCAGTGCTTCCCCAACTCTGCAAGTATCCCTTAAAGAAACCATTACCCTTTTTCCTTCTGCTCTAGACAAAGATTTCACAATGCCTTTGAGGTTGCAAGGAATATGCTGTACAGGTTATATTTAATGTACTATCCAGTGCTATTGCAACCTGCTGCCAATGGTCTATAAGGCACAAAAGCTGGGGAACTTAATCACAGAAACTTGGGAACAGTGAGAAAAGGAGTAATTTTTAAAGAAAATATGTTCAGAGATTATAGTATTTACAAGTTAGGTTTGAGGGTTTGTTTTTTAAACAGATGAGTCTTTGGTCCTTGGTATTTAATATCAAATCTTTTTTACATATTTCCTAGGGATGGCAAACACATGGATTGTCTTGGACAAAAGTAGTTGGTTTTAGTTTAGTGTAGGCACACAATAAAGCAGGTATTAGCTTTAAAGGAATGGATGAAACACAATCATTGTTGGCCTATCAATGCAGGGAGGTCAGACACAATCATTAGCCTGTAAATGCAGGAGGAGGAAACATAAGTAGATGAACCTGAACAAAATGGAAAACTGGAATGGCAAATAATGGCAATAAAACAAGGATTAAAAAATGTTCCCTCTGGTAATTTGTCTGTTTTGGAAACGGCAGGGATTCTGGCAGGAGTGTTTGCTCTTTATTCCTTCGTTTTAGGCAGATGTATATTGGCCTATATCGTATGTTGCTTTTGTTACTCTGAAATTTGCTGCATTATTTAAAGTGCAGTGTGATATTTTTCCTATCTAAGCTTTCCTATTTCTTAACAAAAAAATTTTAAAGCACTTGTGAAATCATTTAAATTGTGTTCTTTACATAAATATTGATATATTGTTTTTTACTCAAAGTGCCAAAGGCTACTCTTTTTAATAATGGCATATGAAATTATATTAGAGAACAGAAATGTAATAATATATACGTTGGAACTCAGACCTCTGCATGTATATTTGATAAGGAGCCTTTTGTAAAATTAATCTTTGTTTACATTCCACTGATACCTTAATTTAAAATAATCAGATAAATTGACAGGTGACATCTTCTTAGTGTTCTACTTTTTCTTACTTGCTAACAGGAGCACCAATTTCTTTGTTAGGCTGTGCTTTACTGAGAAAAAAAATACTGGATAAAAACCAATATGTTTTTAAATGAGAATTCTATATATAAAGTATTGTGTTTAATAAAATGTTATGCAATGTTTTCAAATGGACAAAAATTTGTAAATTGCTATAAATGTATTTTGTTAAATAAGTACAGATCAATGCTACTGTGTGAGTTTATTGTGCTAACATCATAAAAATAAAGATAAAATTCCTCATTGACATTCAGTTGTCTCATCTGTGGTATAGCAGAAACCAACACTTCCTCCTTTGCAATGAATGTGTATATTTTTATAAAAGTCAAAATCTGCCAATATTGAAAACTTCAGGTATTATTATCCATGCCAGGTAAGCTATATTACAAAAAATCAGAGGGAAATGTCCAAGTACAGAAGAGCCTAGATCTATGGTAAGAAAATCATGTGAAGAGGATAATGGCAAACCTGAACACTGAAAGCCTGCTCTAAAGGCTATTAAGATTCAGATAAAAGAAAACTTCCATTGATATTAACAAGTTGAGGACTACACATTATATCATGTCCAGAAAAGCTGACGGTGCAGTTTATTGTATGTTCTTAACAGCAAAAGGCAGGTGGCTTTGCTCTGCTTCTTTCAACATGACATGACTACAGTTGTAAGTAGTAATGGGCTGGTTGATTTCTGGTCAAATAGAGCAGACCAGTCTCCATTTCCATCTATTGTGTGTGTGTGTTTACTCCATTTTGTACAGAGGTAAATATCTACAGGATGTACAAGGCAATGAACCAGTTGATCCAACGTCTTTCTCTGTATTTCCAGTTTTATTTGAATTTGTCCTTAGCTCAGGAGTTGATCTCCCATAAAATGTCTGTGTTTCTTATATAGCAAATGTTGATTGTCTCTAATTATGCAAGGGGGTATATTCAATGCTTTTATAGATATAAACAAATACACAGTTCTGGCTTTGAAAAGGGCCCTGCAGAGATGCTGGATGTGAGACACCAGATGAGGTGGTTGTACAGTTGTCACATAAGTACAAATCTATTGAGACCTTTTTTTATAACAGACCAGTGCACATCTGATTTGGCAGGAACACTTTAAATGCATTTCCAAGACACTGTTCATAAGTAGCTTGAAGTAATAAACATATATAAGTATGGAAACTGTAAATAAAATGAGAAGTCCTATAGAAAACCAAGAATTAGGCATCACAATGATTTTTTAGTAAGTGGCTTTAGTTTGTACATAGAAAAGGAAAATAAGACAGTTCTTCATCCTGACTACATATGAACACACACCCCTTTTACCTATTGCCTCCTCCAAGTCATACTATAGAGCAGTGATACTCAATCAAGTTGGAGGAGCAAATTTATTCTATAACAGTATAATTGACTTTGCCATTAACTCTAATCTAGAGGTGGAAAAAACCCTAAAATATAGGGAAACTGGAAGGGAGAAGTACTTCAGAACGCAGCCAGATATGCTTGACCCCAAATAAAAGCAGGAGTTTAAAAAAAAACAAAAGATTGCACTAAGATATCAGTCATACATAGTAATGAATGTATGGAGAAACAAGAAGGTAAAAGTTTGAGAACCTGGTTTAAAGCCCCTGAGAGCCAATGGAAAACTCTCATTGGCTTCAGTGGATTTTGAATCAATGGTGAAGCCTATAGTAGAAACGAGACTCAAATGTCTGGCCTGATAGTAAGAAGGAGCCATCATGGAAGAGAAAATTAGATGAAAAGCAGAGGCATAGCTACTAGGCTCGCGCCCTGGGCAGTAGTGGCAGGGG